GAGATTTAAAAAAAATGTCTATTTCAATTACATAATTCCTTAACATACATAATTTGGAGATCACCTTTTAAGCAAGGAGATGCGATGAGCACACTTACGTATGTGCGTGCGTGTGTGTATGTGTGTAGGTAGGTAGATACAAGTTTTAGATTTAAGTTTAGGCTGGCCCTGCGACAATGTCTTGAGATTGGAAGAAACCAGCCACAGCTTCCTCCACTAAATATTGCACCTGTTTCGTACGCTATTATCCTATTCTGCGAAGATGGCTAGTATCCATTGGGATTAGACGCCGTGACTGAAATTCAGTACGAGGAACATTTAATACCAGAAGTTAAATTCTTTACATTTGACGGTTATGCAGCGTAAGAGCGCAGTTGCGCACGGAATACGTGTTTATATGGTGTTTTTGTGCATTTAGATATACGTAAACGGACTCTACGATAGAGGAGAAAACCTTACGGTGTGTGTAACGTTTTATACAAAAAAAAAAACTTTTTAGTTAGAAGAAAAATAAAATAAAATTATGAGGTCTTCATCGTCAAATGTAAACAAACGCCCACAACCACATCTATTAATTGTTGATCGACATCGATTAATGACTGAACAACTTTTTATCCCATATAGCCATTGATCGACATCAATCGACGTCGATCTACGAGCAAGAGCATAATGGCCAACAATAACGCGTCTCTACTGAATACATTTTGAAAAAGCCCACACCTTTTAATTGTTGATCGACGTTTTATCCCATACACCTATTGATCGACATCGATCGACGTCGATCAATGGCTTCGATCGACATCCATCGATTGGTGTGGTAACACCCTTAGAGTATCGTGTTGTCGTAACCTACTCTGCCGGTACACATGTTAATGTCAATATGTTGAAAATTTCTCTGTACTATGTCTCTGGGCCGGGCAAACTAATATAATATGTTTTGCAACCTGTAATACTAGTATTATCTAGCTTCCCCCATCTCTATCTTCTAATGCATAATGTTGGTATACTTTTAATAAGATGCATAAATGGATTATTAAATAAAATATGAATTACTTCAATTATATAACATTTCTGATAAAAATTTTGCTGTAGGTGTGTGTAACTCTTTCGATAAATAATAATATGTTTTTAACTGTGCATAGCTTTAAAATTTCTCTATCTATAGTTAAGAAAACCATGTAGTAACATCAATATTCTTTTTCAGGTATTTGACGAAGCGGTTCGTGCAGTTTTAAGACCGGAACCTCAGAAAAGACATCAGAGGAAATGTTTAATCATGTAAATATTGTCTATGACCAAAATATCGTTAATGATTAACACGCGCAGGAATCTCAAATCAACAGTAATAATATGTTTCTTAACCAGTACCACTGAACCGATGCAAAGTTCAAAAAATTGGCTCTAATGGAATAAGCTTTTATTTTGTTATATATGTTGACCAATACAAAGGTAGTTTTGTGCCATATTTTCTATCTCGATTGCATTTTAGTGTTATATCAATTTCTACATCACACTAAGTTTTATTTATTCTGTCAGTATATTGTAAGCAAATGGAAAAATGCCAAAGATTTATGAATAGATGTAAGTTTCAGTTAAACTTTAAATTTTAAAAACCCTTCAACGGTGGGAAACAAATTGTTACTGTTAAATTAATAGAACTGATTATATTTATTATTTTTATAATATACGCAAACGAACCTCACGATTCTGCGAAATCAAACCTGACGTTTTGATATTGTATTATTCTTATGCAACTTGGGAATAAGGACTGATTGTAGAAGCTAGTTATGTATGTTAACATACTCAAATATCTTATTAGTTGCGAGAAATAGTGTTTTATACTGTAGGCGTATTATGATTAAAACAGTTGTTGATTTCTCTACATATATATATATATATATATATATATATATATATATATATATATATATATATATATATATTGGATAAGTTGGCTTATGTGTTATTTTATTCTTTTTTACATAAAATGTTTGTCAAAATAACTACATATTAACTATTTTATAGGTTATGGGAGGCAAATGATAAAATACTTACTACAATTACCTTTATTGAGCATTTATTTTTCTAAACTTTTCCACAAAGTCTTTAAATATATTGTTCGTTTGATTCTTAACCAAAGTTCTTTTAAACGCTATAAGACTGGCAATTGTAAATTTAAAATAGACCTCAGCACCACGACTGAGATTCGGGAGGACTCATGACGTCAATAGATATTTCTACTTTCTCTGACATTATCATAGTAGATAAAGAATTCCGAGTAAGATTTTTCGCCCGTTATTTTTACGACAAAGCTGTCTGAGACATTTAAAATATTTTGAGGACATAGGAAGTCCGGCAACACGCATTGGGGTAACGAGATAGACTTTTCCCTGTATCAAACCTCTTTTAAAATGCGAGTCATATGCGCAGCTTTAGGTCCCCTATATAGAGTATTACTTTACTAGAATAATAAAAGACATTAATAACTACATAAATCATATGTTAAATTGAATAGCACATACCTAAATGTAAACAGTATTATTACATCATACTGAGACATGCGGTATTTGGTCGATTCTAACAAAAATATCGAAATATAACGGAAAAGGAAACATATTAGGAACCAGACTTAACGAAATTACGGAAAATTGCCTGTAACAAGCAACTATTCAATTGTACCTGCACAAAAATACAACCTGTCTAATAGCATACATTGAAATCTTTATTTTCGATACTATACGGAACGTTTCGCTGCTATGCCACATGGAGTGAAAGTATTTTAAATAAGTGTTGTAGATAGGCAAAATTGTTGCTTGCCTCTCTTAGATATATATTAGGCCAGATGTGAATAAAAGCACCTGTATTTTTATGATGATGATCAAAAGGGTCAATTGTAGGTAAAGATTAATTCCTTCTAAGTATTATAGTATATTGAACTAAAGGAACATCATAAAATTTTACATTTAATCTTAGGAAAATTAATTTTCTTCTTTTAATATCGACTTTCTACATCCTACTAAAATATGGGCACTAATAAGTGCCAACATAGCAATTATTCCTTACACTGATTTATAAGGACATATAATGATTTCTTATATTTACGCGAATACTATACATTGATTAAAACTACTTTTACGGATTTTATCGCGTTTTATTTATATTAATTTTAATACCCGACGTTTCGGGTGCTTTCCAGCACCCATGGTCACGGGGGACTGAGGTGACTGACGTCCCGATGTCAAAGTTAACCCGGAATACCTTCAGCTTTTTAATTATTGTCTTTGGTCCGATCTACGCAGAATGAACTAACTGTATTTTGAAGTCTTGCAGTGGTATGCTTGGGTTTAGTGTAGTAAACTAAACTAAACCCAAGCAAAAGTAAACTAAACCCAAGCATACCACTGCAAGACTTCAAAATACAGTTAGTTCATTCTGCGTAGATCGGACCAGACAATAATTAAGAAGCTGAAGGTACTCCGGGTTAACTTTGACATCGGGACGTCAGTCACCTCAGTCCCCGTGACCATGGGTGCTAGAAAGCACCCGAAACGTCTGGTATTAAAATTAATATAAATAAAACGCGATAAAATCCGTAAAAGTAGTTTTAATCAATTATAAGGACATAATAAAATGCGATAAAATAGTATGAATTTGAATGCATCTCTGCAGTAAGCAAAACATTAGGCAAATTTGAAAATGAAACACTTTTTAAGCGTAAGTATTAACGGGAATTTGACCGCCGGGTTTTATATTATGTATATTATTCATTTAAGTGTTTGTGTATTAAATTATCTTTTTATTAATAATTATCATTATTATTTATTATACAAGAAGTAGTATGATGGTAAGGTTGTGAATTAAAAAGTATCAACAAGCAGCGAAATTATCCACTGAACTGCTGAACATTTGCCTCCCCATTGATTCTTATAGGGTATACATTCTTATAGGGAAGGAATTAATTCATATAATTTTTTGGGATTTTACAATACAGAATGTTTTTATTTTTTAATTTTTTCATTTAGATTCCCGATCAGTTAAGACAATTTTTTTTAAATATTTTTAGTTTTACTTATATTAAGAATAAAATATGAAGCAAAACTCTACAATATTAAGTACCTTCCTTACTTGTGGCATAGCTGTGAGAAACCCTGTATTTATGGAAAGAGTATATTTTATCCACATAATTGAATAATTTTTAAATTTCATTTCCATACTCCCATCAACTGATCTTGTCAGATACACGTGGACTACAAACTACATTTTTTTTAATGTCTATACTTCCGTATCTTTTCTTCTTCTTTTCTCTACTTATCAATTTCTTTGAACTACCAATAATAAACCGTGTACCGTAAAACGGGGTGAATAGGGACGATTTCAAGGTTTAGGGCAGATTTCTAATTTGTTATCATTGTGTTTGTTATTGAATACTACCTAAATATTCCTTCCGGTGGCTGAAACTTTTATTATTTAGAACTTTTCCCGCATAAAAATGTAGGTTTTACGAGAATAAGAGAAAAATATGGCCGATCCCGACTCACCCCGTGGTTGGGGTGAAAAGGGACGAAAGAGGGGTGAATCGGGAATTCAGTTAGGGCTGCCACAGACTTTTACCCAACATGATAAAATGAGGTGGTTTTCAATTCCACTTAACAATGTTAAATAAAACAAATATAACAGTGTAGAAAGTATTTATTTAATGAGATCAGTAATACAGTCAGCAAACAAAATAGCAGATTTTTTTTTTCAAAAGTATGTTAATATCACGTTATTCTCTTATACAATAGACTATTATCAACTACTTTTCTTCTTTTATCAACTAAATAAAATTGAAGAAAAAAAAAACATAATAAAAATATTAATTTCGACAAAACAAAACATTTTCGTAATAAGTAATAACTCAACATTGATAAAATAAAACCTCGTATTAGGACTTAATAATATAAATCGTAGGCGAATTATGTTTTACGATTCAAGAAGCCTGAAACAAAAACCATATTACATTATTCGTCATCTTCTAAAATTTTCAAAATTTCACTTTCATTTTTATAATAATTTGTTAGACATCTTTTTTTCTTCTTAGGGGGTGGCAATGGTAATTTAATATCTGATATGATTTTTATTTCTTTTTTCTTTTTAGTATCCTTCTTTATCTCTTCTTGCTTTAAAAAGTCTGAGCTTGAGATAGTCACTTCGTCTTGATATTGTAAATCTAATGAGTCAGCAAAAACGATAGGCATATCTTCTACGTTAAATGACCCTGAGTCTTTTTCTCTAAGAATGTTTTGGAATACAACAGATTTATCACTCTTATCCGTATTTTTTACATATTGGCCAATGACATCTCTTGATGGTCCAGCTTCCGGTAATATTGGCATAACATTTTCTTTCCCATCCCATCTCTCATCGTCTACTTGCTGATTTGTTTTTAGACATAACAAATTAAAGGTTTTTGTTGCTCTTTGGTGCTCTTTTCTATCGTTAGGTTCGTCAGGCACATTCCTGTTGGTAACTTCTTGAGATTGTGTTGGTGTTTTACTCTTTTTTCCTTTTCCTTTTACTTTATAACCACCGAATTTCCAAATTTTTGGTATTTCTTCTTCGGGCATCATTTCTACATCATTTCCACAAACACTTCGCCCTGAAACTACCTCTAACTTTTTCTTACATTTTGGTTCCCTAATTTTCATTGTACTGAAACGCATTTCTTTTAAAATTTTCAGGAAAGATTCATCTACCGCATTTTTATTTGTATCTGCTTCTTGATTTAGTGTAGGTAATCTTGACAAGACTTCATTCGCATTTAATGGAATGATTCCTGCTTTACGGAAGCCAGCTTTGATGTTTTTTTCCGAATTGGGTTTTAATTGGTCTATCAATAATTTTAAAAGACGCGGGAAACAACCTTTAGGCACTGATGTCAGTGTTCTTCCACTTGTCTAGTAGTTGTCGCCAGGCTAATTTCATCGGCCTAAAAAAGGCTAAGTCTAACGGCTGGGTTATATGCGTAGAATTCGCCGGTAAAAAGACAAAATGTATGTTCCTTTCTTTACAGAATTTAATCAGATCCACGGAAAGATGCGAAGACAAGTTGTCTCCGATCAGGATCTTTTTTCCTTCTTTGTTTTCAAAAAAAGATACGACTGTGGTTTCGATCCAGTCTTTGAAAATGTCACCGTCAAACCATCCGGATTTAGACCGATTGTACCTTGCACCCTCAGGGCCATTCTCAACCCATGTGTTATAAAGGTGTGAAGCCTTATAAACAATGTACGGTGGCAATAGTTCTCCTGAGCCTGTACATGCCATCATCAAAGATGTTGAGCCTTTTGAATGGTTTACTACCCTTTCCGGGTATTTACAACCTCGTTTTACAATTACTTTTTTTCGGCCAGGATCGTCAGAGAGATTCGTCTCGTCATAATTTATAATATTTGTAGCTGGAACATTTTCTAAGGATTTTTTCAACTCACAGAAGTATGTCTGTATAGATTCTGGTGAAACTGCAGCCCTAGATCTTTTTATGTTTTGGCATAGTCTCTTTGAAATTTTATTTTTGTGCCGTTTTAGAAAACCGTTTGTGTAGTCTATTCCTGGTAAATTATTTTTAAACTTTTTGTGTACTATCCCTTGTGTGTCTAGATACATTTTGACTAAGTATCTTAAGTCAGTTGTATCTAGGGGATATCCCCACTCTGCACACGTATTTAAGTTTTCTAACAATAGATCTTCTATATCTGGTGTAAGCGCTGTTTGGCCACCAGGGCATTTTATATTTTTATTGGTATGATGGCGATGAAGAGTTGATTTTGATATACCATACTTGTCGGCCACAGATTTTGATTTCACATGATTATAATTCAATTCTTCAAGAGCTTTTTTAATTATTTCCTCATCATACTTTTTGTACTGCTTACACCCTGGTTTAGGTTTATAAATGCGAGGCATGATATCGTTCTGTAAACAATGAAAATTATTTGTATAAATATAATGTACACAAAATATCTTTAAACTTCGTCATTTCATTAGATCATGATCTATGGAGCATGTAGATTTACTGTCTAAATAAAATAAACATTACCTTTAACCGTTAATTATTGCTTATTTAACTTCAGTATTAGTTATTTACATATCTGTGACGTTCTATTGCTATTTCGTTAAGAAAGATTGACCTTTTTAATATTGACATCGTCTTAGGTTCGAATATTTGTATGCAATAAAATACTTTTCTTATGATTTCTATGACAAAATATAAATATTTTTTTCTTAAACAACTGAATAAGAGACCAAAATAATTTTGACAACCCTATTAAGTAAACCCTATTCACCCCTCACTCGTCCTGAATCACCTCTAATTCGTTCCAAATGACCCCTTTTCCGTCCCGAATCACCCCTTTAACTGTCTCTATTCTCCCCTCACACGTCCCTTGTCACCCCAAGATTATCAATTAATGCAGAATCTTTAAAAATTACCATTTGAATCGAAAATATGTAGTTGTTGAACTTACCTTTATAGTATATTAGGTCCTTGAATAATATCACGATAAAATTAATCAATCGGCGTCACTCGAAATTGGTATTTATTATATTAAAATTGAAATGTTTACGGAACAATATTTTGGCACTTCAATAGTGTTCAATTTAAATAACGTTTTTCTGTCTTATTTGACATTTTAGATACTAGATGTTGCCAGAATAAACAAGAAACAAGTTCTCAATTTAAAAAAAACATCTGTCATTTGATAACCCGGCTGTATGTAGAAGTATCAGTGAGTAGAAAAAAATCTTGAGTTTGTCCCTATTCACCCCTACATCCCTATTCACCCCGTTTTACGGTATATAAAGCTGTATTATTTCTCAATGCGATTCCTGTTTCAAACCGGCTTCAGGGTCAAGTTCAATCATAACGAGATTTTGTTTTTCGAAAGTTGGTTTTTTTTTTCATTTAAAGACTGACTTTTTTCATTTGAAGTGATGTCATTTTGCTTAAAATTTTTAAACGGTTATATTTCAAACCACAGTACAACTTTATTGGGTATGGTCATAGTCATGGTTATTCATTTTTATTAGAAACAATAAATGGAATATTGAATGAAACTAGTTTATACACAGTTGCGGGGGGAATAAGGTGTTCGACGTCCGAATGTCATGGTTAAAACTTCTGGAATATAAAATAAGTTAATAGATTAAATAAAATCCGTAAAAACTAGTTTTAATTCAATGTGTAGTGTTTGCGTTAACTAAGAAATCATGATTAATGGAATGAAAAGGATTAGTAATGAACAATCAATTAATGAGCCATAACAATTAATTTGTTTTTAATTATAAGTTAAAGCTGACAATTAGCAAATAAGGATTTATAAAGTACCTATTTCTTTTTCTTGATTTATAAAGTATTTGTTTATAGTAATAACGATTTCAGTTATATTGAATTTTTTAGTTTTGTATTATCTTTAGATAGGCATGTGATGAAATCGTGTGTTTTATAGGGATTTATTAGGTAAAATATTTTTGTATGTGGAAAAACATAGCTTAGGGGGTAACAAAGCATTTAGTGTGATTTGATTACATCGCATCGATATTTCGTAAATATTTTATAGACTGCTTTGTGTTACAGTGTAATGTGTATATAACTATTCAATTATTTATATAAAATGCGCAATTTAAAATAAAACTTGTGTAATAATTCTACTTGCACTTCATAAATTATTAAATTTAAAACAAGCGTATTATTTAATTCAGCCCTTTCCATTTTTAAAATAACAACTCAATTTCGTACAATTAATTTATTTATGTAATATAACACATATACATGTCATTGAAACAATAGATAAGGATGGAAAATAATAACAGTAGATTATCAGTTATAATATTTTGTATACAAAAGGTATTGATAAAAACATTTGCGACGACAAATCCCCGCGAAAATACAAATTCGGTAGAAAAACATGATCTGGAAATCAATTTTTCTCAGTTACTTCTTACGTTCTTTTTACTTAAAACCATTAGAGGTAAACTTCTAGGGATTTTAAAAAACAATGTTTTTGAATGGCTAAGAAATCACGTAACGACTTTTGTGCCCGCCGCGTTCGGGGAACTGCTATTTTATTTCAAGTTCTTTATTAGTGATTGAAGAACTAATGAGACCACAGTTTTGTGTATTCGTGCCCGCTGCGGGGCAATAACGCCCGTGTTGCAGCCCTACTACCATTACGGTCGTGGCTAAATTTGTCTTCATGAGTTCTTAGCCAAAATGTACGATATGTCAAATAAGACTTTGAAGTAGAGCAATACCAGTCCGAAGCGCGCACACACCACAAGAGAAATAAATGCACTGTTCTGTGATCCTTTTTTAACATTATTGAAATATGTACTATAATGAAATTTTTGTGGGTATAAATTTACCAGAGCCATAATTTTTTTGCTCCAGAATTGCATTAACTCAGGGCCTTTTTGAATACAGCCATTTATTAATATAAACATAACTGATTAAAAAAAAGTAAATTCAGGCCAGAATGAAAAAAAAGATTCTAATACAAAGTAGTAATGTGTACTTGTTGTTCAAATTTAGTTGGCTGTAGGTATGACAAATGCAGTGACACCAATCTATTTGACTCATACACTTGCACACTAATGAACGTTTTCCACATACTAAATAGTTCACAGATCCTAAAATTAACAGACAATTGCTATTATGTGCAAAGTACTCAGTTAAAGGCAGAAAGAAATATGATCATAGCCACACTACTTAATCACACTTATATACATTAAATAGATTAAAATACAAGAATATGACCCATCTAACAGTGATATAGGTATTGACTAAATTAATTTTGAAGAACGATGTTGTACTTAATGGAAAATAGATTGAAAAGCAAAGCAAATTTAATAAGAATTTTTCAATAAGCATGGAATTTCAGGGTTAAAATCCATAACAATGTTTGTAATTAGTGAGATATAGTAATATCGTAAATAAAGAAACGGATTAATTTAAAAATTTTATTGGTCTATACAACAAAACTGGTTATTTTTTAGCTGCCTGTTTGATTTTTTGGCAGCTGGATTTGCAACAATAAATAGGCTAGGTATAATTTTCTGCGAATCTGTGATGGTCAAGAAGGAAAGGCTATTAAGTGGGAATGAAAGAGACAGCGTAATGAAGTGTAAGTGAGGAGGATGATGACTAGACATCTGTCCCACCATGGGGATCGTTAGCAAGCCTGGGATGAGCTGAGCAAAATTCACAGTATAGTAGTAGAGGAGCTGCAGTCGCATTCCATATTTAGATCTAATGTCTCTTTGTTTAGTTTAGTTTACGACGGGCTGTTTTCCGCAACTCAGTCAACGTCTAAGCGCGTATTTTGCGTGTGGGCAGGAATTCGAGCCATGATATCTCCCCGAAGAAGCTCAGCATGTCTCTTTGTTTATGTTGAGGACGGCCACTGTGAGGGTGTCACTAGGAGTCTGACTTTTTACCTGCCTGCTTCCCAAGTACTGCAGTTGAATACAAATCAAGTATTTCCCACATAAAAAAAGATTTTTCTTCTTTTTGCTTGCTTTAGTGTGTAGGCTCACATGAAAAGTTAATGTACAATACTGAATGCCATTTCAAAATTAAAACATTGCAAATCATTTATACAGAGTGCATGCAACTTTTTTTCCAAATATAACTACTAAATATACAATCACAAGCAGTAGACAGACAGAGCAGTAGACAATTAAGTTTTAATTTATACAAATAATAAATGCAGCACAATATGAAAACATTGTCTTATGTGCAATAATCGGAAAGCATATGCTATTTTTGGGTTAATGCCATAAAAGCATAGACAAATTGAAATTTTGTGTTTCAAAACACCACATAACACAAACCCGCCAATTACTGCTTATGTGACATCAGTCACTTGTTTTACAATAACACAATTCAATTATAACAGTTAAAAGTAAGATTTCCAAATCCCATTCAGATATTAACTTTTTTTTATTGGTGATGTTATATTTTAGTGTAATTCTAAATACACTGGATTTGAAATTGAGAAATAACTTCCATTATCATATGACAACATTACCTAAACATGCAAGTATAATTTACCGAAAATAAAAACAAACATTTAGTGACAAATCTTAAATAACGATAATAATAATTTTAACTAAAGCATGACATATCACACCTTTGAATATTTGTCATGTGTTGATTGATGATTAGCAGACAGTATCATATCTCTGAAGTGTTTTCCTTATCTTATTTCAGCTTAAAAATAAATATTTAAAGATATGATTATATGTATCAAGTTTTGAAAGTAAAAAAATCAAATAGAAATACCACAAATGCATGTTTTGGACTAGACTGATGAAAAAAATATAAATTTATTTTAACCACAACGTCTAACATGTAAATATATTATGACAGTAATATTAAGATTTTTTTTAAAAGTGTATTGCACATTTACTACACATAATATGTATGTACATGTTTAATATACCAATTAAATAATTTAAGCATTTGTGATTTTAATTAGCATCAATGAAGAAGTTTTTATATGCTTCCAGTTGCTATAAAACATTAGTTTTGCTTGTACTCTATAAATAGCAGACACATAAATTCTAAATGTAAACAAAATATGTAAATATTATTAACTATAAACACAATACTGGTATCATAGATTAATGTTTACCCAAGCTATGGATAAAGTTAAAGCAATATAACTTAGTTAAACTAAGATTGCACTTGGTTTGTATGACGCAATAACAAAAATAATCCCAATAACTAAACAAATTAGAGACTTAAACAAACAGAAAATTAAGATGTGCTATTGGTAGCAACGCTGCAAACTGTACTGATGCGACTATAATATAAAGGAGGGATTGAGAGAGCGGGAAACAGAGGGTTCTTGCATTACAGTGGGGTGCAAACTTAACTCAACTAAGTTGTACTTTAACATTATTGA